ATACTGGTCCACGGTCTTGAGCCAGCCCACGTCGTCATGTGTGTGGGCCACCAAGTGTACATTGAGCTTGTTTGGCTTCACTCTCGGGCATGTCTCGTATCCGGCGGCTCGAGCGCCCGGAGCCGCCAGCAACAGCAAAAACAGAAAGACAGGCAGGAGCCGCGCACGCAGGGCGCGGGAGTTCATCCAGGGCTCGGCGGCGTCCTGGCAGCGGCCAGCGCAGACCCACGAAGCCTGCGCGCGGCGACCCATCGAGAATTGAATATTTGACAAAAATTATGGACATGCTACTTTTAAGAATAGAAAGGGCCATAGTTTCCTCTTAAATAATTGTATTAGTTTGCTTTCAGAACACCGAATATTATTATTGTTGCTATTCGGCCCTTTTCTTTTTTCCTTTTTGAAGATGTCCTCTCTAAATTGCTGAGGCTGGTCTCAAATTTCCAATCCTCCTGCCTCAGCTTCTGAATTGCTGGAATTACAGATGTACACCACCACATCCAACCTGAATGTTATTTTTTATGAGGAAATGTGACTTAAAATAAAATAATAAAATACAAGATTACCAAAAAAATTAAATAATTCACTTTATTTTACAAAAAAGATTTTTCCATTTATTATTTTAACTTTAATTTCTTTAATTGTATATGACAATGAGCATCATTTCATGTTAAAAGGTTAAGATCTGGTGTTATTTCAAAACCACTGATGGTATATATTTTACTGATCAGTTTTTAAGAACAGGATGCCATTGAATTTAAAAATATTTATCATTCTATTTATCTTTTTTCATTTTCAGATTTTTTTATTTTTAGTTACTGAATTGATAGTCATTAAATGAGACAATTTTAAAAAGTTTATTCCCCTCTATTTCTACCCTCTACTTACTAGTAACCATATTAATAATAGTCCAATGTGTATCCTGCCATACAAACATACACAGGGTATTTTCTGTTTGTTCCAAAAATGTAAATATGTGTTATATACATATTTCTGAACTTGCTGTTTTTCATTTAATATTCTTTTATTTGGGGTACTGAACCTAGAGGCACTTTACCACTGAATTATACCACCATCCCTTTTATTTTTTGTTTTAAGACAAGGTCTCACTAAATTGCCCAGGCTGGCCTTGAACTTGTGATCTTCCTGACTCAGCCTCCTGAGTCACTGGAATTTCAAGTGTGTCCCTCATTTAATGTCCTGTGGCCACTCCTCCAGGTCTATCTGCAGTTCTGGTCCATTCTTATTCATAGCTATAGTTTCTGGGGTATGAATACTCCACTTTATCCAACTATATCCTTGCTGATGAACTTGGATGTTGTTCCAGTTTCTGTCATTACCAAGAATTCTACATGAAATTTCTTGAGACTAGATTCACAGATGAGACCGCCAGAGTCAAACGTACTTTTAGTTTTAAGGTATACTACAAGATGACTTCTCACATCTCACAACCAACAGAGGGTCTATTTTTTTCATCTTCTTCATTGCTTGATAGGTGAAAATGGCTGTCCCTTTTTAAAGTGATAATCTTGACTACTAGTGAGATAGGGAATAGAGGAAAATAGGTGTGGAGAAACAGTTCAGGCAGACAGCTTATGAGCTAGGCTCACGCAGAGGATGCTTCTGATTCAATCACAAGTATTCTTTCATTGTCTGACTGGGCAAACCATCAGTCCACCTAACCACAAGGTGTCCACACTCTTGAGGCAGGTCCAGYTGGTTTCTCTCACAGGCACACTACAATCTCCTGACCTTTTTTATTTTTGGCTCATTAAGATGGATTAGCATGTATATTCACACACCCGTTAACTGCTAAAAAGCTGAGCAGGGTTCTACTAAGGGACCTCCCAATTCCAYAGAACTGATCCATATTCAATCCCTACTTAATTTCTTTCTTTTAAATGGTTGTATTTGTATTAATTCCCTTAAACAACATAAACCACCAGACCATATGTCCTAAAATGTAAGATGTCACTAATAAACCTGGTAACAGCTGATAGRAACCAAAAGGGCATGCAGAAGCCCCAAAATTTAGTATAAATAATGGAACAAATGAACAGACATTCAAGCCAGCTGATACCCATATGCCCACATGCCAGAGAGCATGAAGAGGACCTGGACTGGCATCCCCACTCTTCTCATCATCTGCCTGATCCTCTGCAACCTGCTCACCACACTCAAACTCTACAGCAGCCTCTTGACCCTGGTGAGAAAGGCGACTTCTCCTCATCCAGCAGTCAATTCCACACCAGAAGCCTCCATCCGTTCCTGACATGATCACTGCGATCTGAGTGAGTGTGCATCTGTTGGACTTAAGGCCTAAGACTTTAAATCTAGCACTTAATCTTAACATGCAGAGGGAGTGTCTGTAATAGGTCTGTCATGATTAAGTGTTTGCAGTGCTTAGAGTTAGYACTAGAATTGTTTGCTTTTAATTGATCATGTATATTGAAGTGCCCAGCATTAAAGACTATCATTTCCTTGATTAAGAACCTATACAGGGGCTGGGGATGTGGCTCAAGCAGTAGCGCGCTCGCCTGGCATGCGTGCGGCCCGGGTTCGATCCTCAGCACCACATACCAACAAAGATGTTGTGTCCGCCGAAAACAAACAAACAAACAAAAAGAACCTATACAAAAAAACAAAACAAAACAAAGAACCTATACAGGGCTGGGGTTGTGGCTCAGCGGTAAAGCACTCCCATAGCACATGAGGCCCTGGTTTTAATCCTAAGCAACACATAAAAATAAATAAAACAAAGCTATATATATATATATATATATATATATATATATTATAATTATATATATATAATTATAATATATATATAATTATAATATATATATTATATATATTATATAATATATATATATATTATAATTACTATACAGTAAAATTGTATTGAGTAATTTTGAGTTTTGAGTGAATAAAACACTGAAAAGGGCAGAAGCACGTGGCGATTCTTTCTCGCTCCCCTCAACTGCAGATATCGCACTTTTGCCCTTGGCGACAGTGAGTCAGCTATAGCTAGCTAAGAAAAGCACTGGTTTTTATTTTTACCTTCATCATCCTGCTGAAGGCTTGGTGTGACATGGAAGTTGTCCTGACTCTGCCCGGTGCCTCACCGGGAATGAAATGATTACGGAAAAATGCAGAAAGAAAAGTTGCTATTCCACCTCTATGGGAGGCTGAAATTGAGAAAGGAAACGGAAACGGCTTGAGAAGGAAGGGCTAGGATTTCTCAAAAGGTGCAGGTCCAAAAGCAGGGTAAAAGTTGGCAAGCCAGGGGCTGGGGAAGTGGCTCAAGCGGTAACGCGCATGAGCGAGGGGCGCTAGGTTCGATCCTCAGCACATTAAAAAAATAAAATAAAGATGTTGTGTCCAAAATATTAAAAAATTCTCTCTCTCTCTCTCTCTCTCCTCTCTCACTCTGTCTTTAAAAAAAAAAAAAAAAGATGTTGTGTCCACTGAAAAAAATAAATATTAAAAAAAAAAATCTCTCTTAAAAAAAAAAAAGTTGGCAAGCCGGGATTGGGGAGGGACGTCCAGCTCTGCTCTACTGGCCCCACAGCACCAAGACACTGCCAACCCACACCCGCCACAGCCAGACCGCCTCCGCAGTTCCCGGCCTGCCCGGAAGCTGCGGAGCCCCCGCCCACACCTTCCGGTGCAGAAGACAGCCGGCTTCCGGTAGGACCTCCGCCCTGTCCCGCCCCAAACACCGCCTCCTCGTGGTCTCCCATTGGCTGTGTGGCCCAAAACTACGTTTCCCAGTAGACCGTGGAGTCATGCTGGCTGAAACGGGAGGGGTGTACCCCGTCATGGTGGATCGGAGCTAGCCCCCTCCTTTCCGTCTTCTGAGCRGAACCGCGGAGAGAGCGGCTCCCGCCGGCCTGGCTCCGCCTCGCGCCCTGAGGACTCTGGCGGCTGACCTCGAGTCTCGCCTTACCGGGCGCAGACTGCGCGCTCCGAGCGGGGAGACCAGGCTTCCCCGCCGGAAGCGAGTCACCGGACGTGGCGTCACAGAGCAGGAGGCAGCCGRCCTCCCAGAAGGCACCGCACTGGGCTGTCCTCCCAACTGAAGGCGGCGCGTTCCAATAGTTGCCGGCGTCTCCTCTTCTCTTGCTGRTTTCCTGGTCTGTCAGCCGTCCTCAGCAAGCTCCTGGGGGCGAAAGGGCTCCGAGAGGTGAGGGCTCCGAGGGGCGGGAGGCAGGCGGAGGCACCAAGTGCGATCCATTGCAAAGATCTAGGCGTGTAGGAAGCCGGTGCGCGCCCCCGGCAGTGCCGCCGGCCGAACTTGGCCATCGAGCTGTTCCTYGGCCGGTGGGAAAGACCCCAGAGTGGGCCTGGCCCTGTCGGCCCCGGGGTGATGTTCCTCGTCACTCTCAACAGGGATTTGGCAGAGCAGTCATGTGGCCTTTCGTTTGCTCCCTGGGAGACATCAGCCACCTCCAAGGGGTACCTGAGCTGCGGCCTGAGGGGCCAACCATCAACCTGCTTCTAATCATTCGCCCTCGGGGTTGGACTCCAGATTTTTCTGTTCCAGCCCATATTTCTCTGAGCAAGCATAAGTTAAACTACTTCCCAATGGATTTTGCACTTCATATTTCTGGGGAAGATGTCCCTTGGCCTGCCGGCCGCCTTTACCCACTTCTCTTTGGTTCTTGAGTTTTGATTTTTAATTTTGGAGTCTTCCTTTCAGACCGTCTTTAAAAATATGCTATTCAGGGACCTTCTGTTTCAGATACGACTTCCCTTTCCGGCTGTCTTTGCTTTCTGGTTTAGATCTTGTGTGTCCTCGCCACCCAACCTGTATATTGGAGCATCGTCATGCCCTGCTTTGTCTTGTGGGTAATCCATGGTTTCTCTGTCTGCAGCTTTGCTCTCTGGCAGATTTTATTCCGTAAGAGGTGGCTCTAGAATCCCCCAGAAACGAGTGTGGTCTTTTATTGCAAGGCATGATGACTGCAAAAGTGGTTCCCATATCCCCAAAGCCAAAGCAGTCCTTTATAGTGAGAGTTCCTCCAGACTCCAAGCTGGGCCAAGACCTCCTTCAAGATGCCACTAGTGGGCCCAAGACCATCCACCAGCTGGTACTGGAGCACTTCCTTACCTTCTTGCCCAAGCCAAGCCTGGTCCAGCCCAGTGAGAAAGTCAAGGAGACCTTGGTTATTATGAAGGATGTGAGTTCAAGCCTTCAGAACAGAGGTGAGGAGCATGTGCTTGTTTCACTAGAAGAGACGGTGGGTGGTACKGGGGGCTGAGACAGACTTCTATATTAGTCAGAATTAAGAAGAGGATGATGGGTGTTTAAAAGGGAGCTAATTTTAATATGTTGGGGTACTTGCTTTCTTCTCAAGCTAGAGATTAAGTGATATGACAAATGTGTGTAAAACCACAGAGTATGAGGTGTGTATATCTTTCTGTATTGTCAATTTCATCCAAACATTCTGGGGGGAATATCTTTTTAAGAATAAGGAAATAAGATGAATTATCAACTTAACTTCAGTTTATGTGGGATTTTAGAGATTTTGTGCTTTCTTAGGGCATCTTTTCACTTTGCTGAAAACCCCAACCTCTTCTGTAGTGACTCTCTCTTGGAGATTTTGAAAGGTGTTTAAGGGAATTCTTTTCATAATGAGAAGACACCAAAGGTTCAAGACCTGGGGTTTATGGCTTAACTTTTTCAGGGCTCACTGGAGAAGAGAAGGCTGTGGATTGCCTGCCAAAGGAACAAGGACAACTTGGCTTGAATGTGTAGGCCACATGTCTGTATTAGAGTCACTGAGTTTTTCACTAACTATAGCTTCCTCTTTTCCCAGTGCAACCTCGTCCCTTAGTGAAGCTTCTGCCCAGAGAAGGAGTCCAGCAGAAACAGGAGACAGTGTCTCTGTGTTTTAAAGCTGACTCTGAGGTGGGTTTAGTTCTACCACTCACTGTCTGAGTGCATCACATTCTCTGCTATTGCAGCCTTCCCTTCTTGGCCAACCCATGCATAACCTTCTTGGGAGCCAGCCTTCTTGGATGTTTCTTTTCTGCTTTCTTCTGGCTCCTCTTAGYCTGGCTGTCCTATCTCTACTGCTCTGTGTGGAGTTTATAGATCCCTTTCGCCATCCTTTTCTTTGATCTTTGTACCTAAGTCTTCCTTGCCACAGGGCTGCTAAGGAGCCTCAGTTACTAAGAAGAAGGGGGCTTCTTGTTCTTTCAGGAGCTGGTGGTCTTTGAGGATTTGAATGTATTTCACTCCCAAGAGGAATGTGTGAGCATGGATCCTGCTCAACAGCCCACATCAGAGAAGGACAGTGTTGGAGAGATGATGTTACTAAGTAAGAAATCAAGTATTTTGTGTATTCAGATTGTGTGCTATAGCAAAAGTGTGTCCTTCRTTTCTGGAACCTTTGAGGTACTATTCACACTTGCTAAAGCACAAGCACATTTATGTTTTCCTTTGTTTTATTCCTTGTGGCAGATCCTAGCCACAAAATTCCAGCTGTGGGTGGCCATTTTCCCTGTACTTGAAGGCACTGAGGGAAGAAAGGATTTCTTTTAGTAAGCAAGATCTGCAAACCAATGGAAAATGTGGGCAGACTGTTTTTGAACCCTTTTTCTGGAGTTTGTTCTCCCAAGTATATTTTGAATTAGTGTTTTCATTGGACACATCACTATTTTAAGTCCCTCTCTTCTCTCTCTTTTTTTTATGTTTAGTAGGTGTGAAATCCACTAGTATAAGTGAAAGTATACCTCACTTTCAATAAAAATAATACCTAACACTGTACTGAACACTTATATGCTAGGCATTGATCCATATACTTTGCGTGCATTTATTGTTTTATGTACTTCTCACTTTATTACTGTGGGAATTGTTATTACTATATAGATGACAAACTGGAGTAAAGAAGAGGTTAAGAAACTTTCCAGAGGCTCATAGAGCTATATCTCCCACCCTTTTAAAATGTTTTTATTTTGAGACATTCTCACTAAGTTGCTTTGGTCCTCACTAAGTTACTGAGGCTGGCCTTGAACTTGCAATCCTCCTTCCTCAGCCTCCCATGTGGGTCGGGATTACAGGCGTGTGCCACCACCCACAGCTGAAGCAGGGATGTGGACTAGGGGAATCTAGTATCAGAGTTTGTAGTCATGACCCAGAGCTGTGTGGCCTCTTGGCCACATTCTCATAATTTTATCAGTTTCCTGTAAGGTCTGTGAATGGGACTGCCTTTATTTGTCCTTATTTTCCAAATATCCCCAGTGCTACATGTGAATTGATTTGGAAGCAGCCTTGCTGTAACCTGCTTAGACATGCTTCAACTTTCCTCTAGAAATATGTTGCTACCCTAGAAGCAGATGCCTTCTGTTTTTCTGAGTGCCTAATACYTTTAACTTTTCCCTCATCTGAGGCTGAAGTTGAGCAGAGAGTAAGATGGGGGAGTTGCCTGGAGTCACACAAATAAATTATTACTGTAGAACCTTCAGCTGCATTGAACTGTCTGYTCAGAGCGAGTGATGTATAATGGGCCTCCCACTGGATGCTTTCTCAAATATATTCTTTATTGTAGAGATAAGTATAAAAAGATTAGATTTATTACTCTGGGTTTTTCCTGGGTCTTGGGCAAAGCTAATATTATTTTGTATGACTGATTATCAGGTATGTTGACAATCCTTTAGCCATGTACTTTGGAGCCCTAAAACCTAATCTTCATCTTTCCCACCTCCATTTCTCTGCCCATACCTTGAAGGTTTAAACTTAGAGTCATTCACCAACATTTCATAAATGCTACGTGCTTTTTCCTTAGGCAGGGTTGGAGTTGATATTCAGCACGTTACAAAGATATGTAATGCTCCATTCCTTCCTTCTACCACCCTCCTCCAATGTGGTTTGTCAGACAAGTTGATTACTTTACTTTAAAAGATAAGCAGTGTGGAATTTGTATCGATATGAAGAGCTGTCACAAGGTTAAGGCAGGATTTAGATCTGGTGATGGAATTTGGAAGATGCATTTGATTTTAGATGAGATTAAATCTATGGCAAGAAATAAAATGATTGTCTTCTGTATCTTTGTAAATTGGAAACTGGAAGACAGAAGGATATAGAGAATTGGAAATCAATCAGCATATAAGTGATGGTTGAGTCATATTTAATCATTTGCAAAGGGAAAAGTATAATGGTTGAATCTCATAGAGACAGGAGCCAAAGGAGAGTCCTTAACATAGGAAATCAGAGAATATGTGTATCAGTCCAAATGAACTGCATAAAGGGGGTTGGGGAAATAGCTCAGTTAGTAGAGTGCTTGCCTAGCATGCACAAAGCCCTGAGTTCAATCCCCAGCACCACCAAAAAACAAAAACCACTAACCCCAAATGAACCGCATAAAAATAGGTGAAAAAAACTGTTAAGCAAACTTGGGTTAAAGAGAGAAATACAAATAAGAATTGCATAATTTTTCTAAAAGATACTATCAGAATCTATGATGTAACCTAAAATGATGTTCAAAAGAAAATTCATGGCCACTAAATGTGTATTAATTTAGAAAAAAGACAATAGATCAGCCTCTGATTTAAAGTTATAACAACAGTAGGGTAAATTTAAAAAGAATATAAGATTAGAAATTAATGAGTTAAAATGAGGGAAAAGCCTGKAAAAATAGAGTAAGTAGAAAAATGTAAGGGGTTGGGGATGTGGCTCAATTGGTAGCTCGCTTGTCTGGCATGCGTG